AAAAAAAAAAAAAAAACTCGTCCTACTACCAACGAAATAAGTATAGGAAGCTTATAAACGAATCAAGTAAGCTATAAGCTAGCTTATTTGTGTACCAAACATAGCCATCGAAGTGGTACCTATCTCCTGCAATAAACATCATGTGAAAAATAATAAACTATAACATGTGACTGGTGGGGCTCTTTGAAAGTTACCTAGATTCTTGGTTCCTTTTTGTGTATCTTAAAAACGCAAAGGACGATGTTGAAAAGAAATGGAGATGGTCCTTTTCCAGCCCACCAACTGTCGGGTTTTCTGCTCCAAATTTACATCAAATGAGAAGATGAATGTGGGGCCAAAAAGAAAAATAATCCAAAAAAAGGGTAAGTTGGTAACCCTCTGAATGTAAAATTTAATACTGGTAAATTATGAAAATGTAAAAATCATCTTCTTAAACAAAGATCTCTTTCCTTTGTCATGATAAAAGCTCCCAACCAAGTTTCCATGGTGGTTCCACAAAAATCAAGAAAAATTAAGGCTGTGATACAAAAAGTTTCGGTTATCTTTCACGAGTCGACTCCTATGAAAGAGTCGTACGGTGATAACATACTCAAACCCGCTTGCAGATACAACCCGTCATTCATGATTTTCCGTTCTCTCTACAAAAGAAAAGGTTGAGAACCTAAAAAGAAACTTGAAAAGTATATAAGCAACAAATATGATTTTCCTATATGATATGAGTTCATAAAGCAGCAATCTCCGGGTAGAATTAAGGGCAATCAACTCAACAAAATAAGAGAAATGCAGGCAGAAGTCATCATCAACAAATACATCCAACAAATCATCAGCAAATTGATTTATCATCAAGAATTAGATATCAATCCTCAACAGTTCAATTTTAGCAATAAGATATCCACATCAAACCACAAACTAAAAGACATAATCGTGTGTATTGAACGATTCAAATGGCAATCTTTTCCAACAAAGTGAACATCAAAAGGTCACACGGTTTTTTTTTTTAATTAAAATCAAATTCAAATCTCATACACTAGCTCTGTATAACAAACTCCACGATTTCATCTGCTAAATGACTGCAAGTTGGCATGAATATGTTTGATTCCGCTACAACAGATACACACATATGGCAACAACGAAATGTTACAATCTTTTTGTGTGTGCTATACATGTATAAATCAAAAGCACCATTGAACTATTGTTCAAAAGATTCATCATATAAACACAAATTCACCCAAATAAAGTACAACAAACAAAACGTCTATAGAAGAGCACTACCCAAACGAAGTACAACAAGCAAAACATCTATAGAAGAGCACTAGTGCATACAACATCCAGAAACACACCTAGTATTAAGTCCATCAAAACCAAAACAATCAAACAAATGTTGCATGTTAAAATCATGAATTATCCTATGCCTTTATTCATAAAATATGCAGGATTCAGAAGAGCTCGAACAATAGATTTGTCACTTTGGGATTAGATTATTTACACAGAATATCACATCTCATGATTTAATTAAAAAATGTTTACAACACATGTGACATAGTGATTATAGACTTTAGCTTTCTGAAATGAGGAAAATGTTATGTTCTATGAGCAAGAAAATAAATTTGAAAAAAAAAAATAAAAAATATTTAAGGTCTAAGCCAAAACCATCTTTAGCACATAAAGGTACCACAAAGAGCAACATGTATAAATTATCCAGAATTCATCTCCCATTTGTTTTAATTCATTATAGAGGGACTGGCAGGGTGGGAGTCTAAATTCCTATGAAACTTAATTGAACCCAGTATAAATCAGTACAGGAGACCACTTGAGAGAGAGAGAGAGAGAGAGAGAGAGAGAGAGAGATCAACATAAATATGCCACTATCAAATTTTATTTCACCCCATTATCTGAACTCTTCATATCAAAACCATTCAATCCTAGCTCGTACATGTCTTAGTGATAATCTTTGAGAAATGGGAAAACACAAAAGGGCAACATGCAAGGATCAAGCAAAGCATTGTACTTGAGTGCAGGTGTACCTTAAGGCACGTCAATTAGCTGAAAGACCAACCTAAATAATCTTATAACATTAATTGGAACTTCTTAATTTGTACAGGTCTTTGTGTACACACAAACGAGATAATCAAGGATATTCAGTTAGGAGTACAGATAATAATAATAGAGACGGAAATTTTAACTATAAGAGTTAAAGGCACACCCACCCACTCATCCTTCTTATAACCCTCCAGTCTATTTTTCAAACAAGATCCTTGCTTACTAAAAATTACCCCCACTTTAATCAAACACTATGAATCATCGAGAGAGTCCACGGTATTCCCCAATGCTTAAGCCTCAAGACAGAGGCTGCTTAAGCAGTTTTCAAATGTAACCCATATAAGCAATACGAGCCTTCTCTTGGGAGAGTAACCTTAACTTCCTTATATATTTCTCTTCGATGCATACAAAGCCTCCATCTAACTATTGGCAAGGTTGCACTAGAATCCCCTATATTTAAAGCACCACCAAAAGCCTCATATGCCAATATGTTTGAAAGAAATTAATAAGTGGACCGACCGACCGAGCTTCATCCTTGAATTTTTACAACCAAGTCTGGTCACTACATTTTACCATAGCAAAATCTGTTACTATCGTGTTCAGGTGTCAAACCACCTAAGAAACATGACAGCTATTTTATTACACAAGTAGGCAAAGCATTATGTTGCCACTGCCACCCAAACCCACCTAATCAAATGCAGGTAGCATTATTAAGCTGCATTAACCAATCAGCAACCACCAATATCTTCACAAGCATTGAAGATTCAAAAACACATTATTGTACTACAAAAACAAGTCTTTTATCACCACCCTTGAAACCACCCAACACATTCTTCACATGATCCTGCAATTCTAACAACATTCATTTCCGTTTCCTAACTTGGACAGAACATGAACATTCATAGTCTGCACCATCATGAGTATGTATGTGTGCGTGTGTGTGTGTATAAATATGTCATATACTTCCAAGAAAAACATTCAAAGATATAAAAATAGAAGCAAAGACACAAGTATATTCAAACTGGATATTGGCTTTTGATATTATGGGAAATGAATTGTACAGAGAACGGGGAAACAAAGCCAATAGAAACCAAGTACCAAACACTTTTTACCAACTGCTTCAGCACATCTACAGTACAGAAGCTAATTAAGGATCATGGATTTTCTAACCCATAGAGAACACCAGCATACTTGTCCAGCAAACCCTTCTCCTTCTCACCCTTGCTGAAGTACACAGCCCTAAGTTTCTCGAATGCGTGCCAGGTCAGCAGGCTATCTGACCCGGCCTGGTGACACTTACCGGCAACACGCTCCACACCAAGGGACTTCGCCACCCTGTCCAATCCACCATAGAGCCCCTGGCAGAACTTCATCAGATGCTTAACATCATAAACACGGTCCCCGAAGAAGACCTTCAGCAGATTCAGAAAATCCCTAAGGCTCCCGGGAAGAGCCTTCCCTGTGATGGCCTTGATGAGGTACCCAAAGTCGTAGCCGCTGTGAAATGTTATGTAGGTGACTTCGTCATTGCACACAAGGCCTGACGACACCATGAGCTCGGCAAACCTGGCGGCGGCCACCCACTTTCGGGTCTGCTCAAAATCAATGCCCTGGTTGCGGAGGAGGTCGATGGAGTTTGGCGCGTGGTCATCCCTCGAGATATCAAAGTCGCAGAAATTGAACTCCCATATGAAGCGGCGGTCAGGGAAGCCGAGGTCCGGGAGGTTCCCGGAAGCGTCGGAGAGAGTGATCCCCACCTGAATCAGCTTGAGCGCGTCCACGTTGGACTTGAGGGTCTGGTAGTGCTCGCGCGGGTCGGAGTGGTGCTGGTAGGGACGGAAGACGACGCCGGGGAACTCCGTGTCCATGGAGACGAAGGGAAAACGGTCGACAAGGTCGCGAATGAGTGAGAATTCGTGATCCAGATTCTCCGACCAGACGGATCGGATCAAGACCGGTGCTTTGGAGCGGCCGGGATCGGCTAGGAGCGGGGGAGACGGAGGAGGAGAAGCGGTGGAGTATGGCGGCGGCTTGTCAGGGGGGATGGCGGTGGCCATGGAGAGGGCATTCAGATCGAAAGCGATGGATGGCGATTTGTTTGATTTGGGGAAAAAGCTAGGGTTTGAGGGGAAATGATTTATTAATATCATAAATTGGTAACTGAACGAGTGTGTGTGTGTGTGTGTGTGTGTTTGTGAGTGACGTGTGAGTGCAAAAAAAGCGCTTTTATGGAGACGTGGGGATAATCATACTATTGGGTGAGAGAGTGGCTAATGACGCTATTACCCTTTTGGATTATTTTTTCTTTTATTTATTTATTTATCATTATTATTATTTTTATTATTTTTGCTTTCTCAGTTTCACTGTACACATCCCTTCTCTTGTATATAATTTCTGAATGCGTTGAATCTAACTGGCAGACTCACATGCTTCGGATCCTATGTGTCAAAATTTCATGCTTTATTGTTTGTTTGGATATATTTTAATTTAATTTTAATCCTAAAATAATTAGGTCCGAATTATCATAAATATGTTGATTTATTTATGATCATTTTAGATGTATTAATTGTATTTAATATCATTTCATATTATAACTATTGAATTGTAAATGTATTCTAAAAGTTGATAATTTTTTTATTTCTTATCAGTTTTACATATATAATATAGCAAATTAATCGTCTTTTGACGAGTTTCGATTTGACATCCATTATATATATAAAATAAATAAATTATATTTATATTTATAATAATAATAAATTTTTTTATTAAAATTAATTAAAAAATAAAATTATTTCTCATTTAATATTTTTATGTTTAATATAGTTATATGTTATAAGTTACAAACATTATTATAATATGACACAGGTAAGTCGCACAAGTAACAAGTATCCTACTAAAATTAATAATAATATTTTTTTAATATAAAAAATATTTAAATTTTCAACCACTTATTTTTCATTAAATTTAAATTTTAAGAAAAAAAATAATAAATACTCGTATAATACACAGGTGTTGTACTAGTATAGAGTAAATATGCATTTGTCAACCTAGATTTGTCATTGAAATTGAAAATACAATAAAATGCTTTGAAGAAAATAATATTACTTCCATCTTACTCTTATTATACAAATTTTATTTATAACTAAAAGACAAAACTAACTGTTATTTATATTTTTAGAATAATAAATTATTTATTCGCTGGTACATTTTTAAAATAACAATCTTATCATCAATATTTTATTATTATAATCATAATAATATTATAACTATACCGTTTCATTTTTATCTTATATTTATTTATTTATCATATCAATTTACTTTACCCTTTTTTATAATATTATTTTTCCACTTTTTCATCTTACTTATTCAACCAAACAAAAAATGTCCACAAACTATTGACTGTGCTGGAAGTATTTGAATGTTTTCACCGACCACTACAAAGAAATTGTCAAAATGCTAATAAAAATTACCAACAAAACTTTTTTCGTTGGGAATTGCCAACGAATCACCAACGGATTAGCAATGCATTCCATGTACAATTTTTCTAAACAGATTACCAACAAAATACTAACAAGATATAGCAACGGAAAATTACTCTTCGTAATCCGTTGGTAAATAGTGACAGAAATATTTCGTTAGTAAACACAAACAAAATACCAATAGAATAGCAACAAAGTCTTTCAAAATTGTATTAGCAACGGATAACTCCGTTAGTAAATAGCAACATAGTGTTTTCGTTGGTAAATAGCAACGGAATAGCAACAGACATCATCAATATTGTATTAGTAACGATTATTCCGTTGGTAAATAGCAACAAATTTTTTTCGTTGACAAATAGCAACGGAATAGCAACAGACATCATCAATATTGTATTAGCAATAGATTATTTCGTTGGCAAATAACAACGAAATGGTTTTGTTGGTAAATAGAAACGGAATAGCAACGAAAACCTTCAATATTGTATTAGCAACAGATAATTTCGTTGGTAAATAGCAACGGATTTTTTCCGTTGGTAACTAGCAAGAGAATAACAACAAACTCCTTAAAAATTGTATTAGCAACGGATATTTGCGTTGGTAAATAGCAACAGAATGTTTTCGTTGGCAAATAGTAACGGAATGGCAACAAACTCTTCAAACACTGTATTATCAACGGATTATTTCATTGGCAAATAGCAACAGAATTTTTCCGTTGGCAAATAGCAACGGAATAACAACAAATTAATCCAAAATTGTATTACCAACAGATTATTCCGTTAGTAAATATCAACACAATTTTTTCATTTTCAAATAGCAACAGAATAGCAATAAACTCTTCCAAAATTGTATTAGCAACGGAATTTTTCCGTTAGCAAATAGCAACATAACAGAAACGGACACTTTTAATATTGTATTAGCAATGAATTTCTATATTTATTTTTTGACATAAACAAAGTAATAATTTTGCTTGGTTTTGTTAATCGTAATACTCAACCATTATTTTTTAAATTTTACTGTCATAATGACATTATTATTAAAATTATAACACTTAGAAAAGTAAAATTCTTTATATATATGTGTGTGTATATATAATGATAAATATTTAATATACCTTAATAATATTTAGTTATGTAATTAATTTAAAATTATTTAAACAGATTCATCAAAATTTATATTTTTCTTCTTAATTTATTACTATAATTAAAAATAAAATCAATCACTACTACATAATTTATAGTTGAGCGTTAATGAAATAGTTAATTATTTATAGTTTATTAAATTACACAATTATTTAAATTTTTTATTTGGATAGTTTATACAAAAATAAATTTCTTTTAATTAACTAAACAATATAAGTTTTATAATTGTACTTATTATTTATATAGATATTTACATATATGATAAAAGTTTACCAAAATATTTTCTTTTAATTTCAGAAAAAAAAAATTAAAAAAATGACAAACTTATTTCAAAGGAATATAACATAATTTATTATCAATTAGCGCACCGTACGAGTTGCGTATTAATTTAAATATACACGTTTTATATAATTTTGCATAATTTAAATTTTATATAACATTACCAATAAATTAATATAGGTAAATCATATAACATATCTATTCCATACTTTAAATTTGTAAACATTATTTAACACGGTGATAAATTTGAACGATAACGTGACCGACAACAAATATAGAAATTTGAACGATAACGCTTGTGTGTGTGTATATATATACATATATAAAAAAAATATTGTGTAGTCCAAATTTGAGTTTCAAATTTAAAAGCCAAATAAATAATTATTCATAACTTGGTCAATATTAACTTGAACGTAAATGAAATAGTTTATTATTTATGGTTTAATAAATTATTCAACTACTTAATTTTTTTGATTTGGATAGTTATACAAAAATAAATTTATTTTAATTAACTAAACAATATAAGTTTTATAATTATACTTAAATATATATATATATTTAAATATATGATAAAATTTTACCAAAATATTTTCTTTTATGGAATCACATTGTAGCCAAATCGAATTTAAAAATAAAAAATTTAAAATGACACTTGTTTGGAAATGAATCTAATATAATTTATTATCAATTAGTACACCGTACAAGTTGTGTAGTAATTTAAATAGACATATTTTATGTAATTTTGCACAATTTAAATTTTATATAACATTTTTAATAAATTAATATGCGTAAATTGTATTAAATACTAATTCCATATTTTTTATTTACAAATATTATTTCATGAGTATTTTTAGTTTATAAATTTTAATATATATTTTTTACCCGTGCGTCGCAAGAGATTCATACTAGTTCATTTACAAATGTCATAAATTTTGTAGATACTTATATATACAGTCACTATTTTTATAATTAAACATATTAAAAAAACACCAAATATAATTAAACGGTTGGAGCATAAATAATATAGAAATTTAATGAATATAAAAAATATAATTTATATTCCACAATTCTTATTTTATATAATTTACATAGTTGATAAAAATAAGAATTGTAGAATCATGTATCATACATTGATATAGCCTAGTGGGGGTGCTACCTCTTTAACATGCAAGAGGTCTTGAGTTCAAGTCCTAGTGTTGTGAGATTGAGAGAATTAGTAAGGATTATATTGGTGGATGGTCATGGGCTCACTGTGAGCCATGTGGTTCAAGGTGGGTCAGGTGGTTGTATAGCCTTCAAGTTGGGTCAACAATTTTTGTTGCTAAAAAACCGTTGGTAATCCGTTGGAAAAAAAAAAATAAAATCCCTTGGTAATCCACTGGGAAAAATATCTGTTAGCAATCCATTGGAAAAATTCCGTTGGGAAATTTTCGTTAGCAATCCGTTGGAAAAAAATATTCTGTTGGTAATCCGTTGGGAAAAATTTGTTGGTAATCTATTGGTATATTCGTAACGAATACGTTGGCTTTACGTTTATAATTTGCCAACGGAATGATTTAGCAACTCCATTTTCTGTTGAGAATCCCTTAGCAATCTTATGAAGTATTTCCGTTGCAAATTTGTTGGTAATCCGTTGAGAATTTTTCCAATGGATTGTATTTTCCGTTGGCAAAAGTTAGTAACAAGGCACATAGCAATAAAAAAATCTGTTGGTAAACCGTTGGCATTTTGTTGGGAAATTTGATTAGCAACGGATTATTTCGTTGGTAAAACTTATATTTCATGTAGTGGACTATATGCAGAACAAATAATAATAATAATAATAATAATAATAATAATAATAATAATAATAATAATAATAATAATTCCCATTAATTAGTTTGTCACGGCATCTCAAAATTGTACAAATTGCAACTTATGTCATAAATGTAGTGACACATATGTAAGTTATACAGTTTATATTTATATCAGTTAATTTTATTAATTGTCATAGTTTAAAATGTGATATACTCGTTAGCTTACTCATAACTTTAAATATTATACACATAAATAATGTATACTCCCTCCGTTTCAAATTATAAGTCGCTTTGACTTTTTCAGTACATCCACTTTGCTATGTATCTAGATAATAACATGTCTAGATACATAGTAAAATGGATG